GTGCTTTATCTAGCCAGCTTCTCCGTGCAGTCTTTCTTCTTGATTTTTTTTTTTTTGTTTGTTTGGTTCGTTTTGTTTTTGGACTTGAAGGGAACATTTTTTTTTAGAGTATGGCCAGGGTGTGAGAAACACGCCAAAAAGCACAAAGGTGTCCTTTAACTCTGCTATTTCTTTCTCTCCCCTCTCCCCTTTTAATCCTGCCAGCCTGTGTGATTTGACTTCTTCCCGCTTCCGTTTATCTCAAAGTAAAGGATTGCTTTCCTGTGGCGGCTCCTTCCCTTGGAGGTTGCACTGAAGAGTCTTTCACCCTTTGAAGGAGCGGAATGGCAGAGTTAAGGAGGGAAACAGTTCTTACACAAAGAGTATTTTATTCCCCCCCCCCCCCCCCCCCCAAAAAAAGTGGGTCCATCTGCTGTATTAAAAAAAGAAAAATAATAATAATTCCATTCTGGCTCGATTGGCTTTGCTGCGTTGCCCAGCCAGGGCCAACACCACTTTGCTTTGTCACTTGCAACGTTCTGAGTTTCCCTCCCTGCCGCGTTGCGTCCGGCGCTCACCAGGACTTTGCCATCCCCGTTCTCCAGACAAAAGCCTCCGGCTGAAGGGACGCGGCTGAGCTGCGCGTCGCTGGCCCGGCGACCCTCCGGCCGTGGTCCGCCGACTCCCACTGAACAGCCACCTCTTTCTGCTGGTCTGCAAAAGCCCAACCTGCTCAGAAGTGGAGCGGTGAAGGAGAGCTGGGGGGGGAAGAGGTGCGATGTCCGAGGAGCGCGGTGGTCCATAGGGCGAGCACCCCGGAGAGCCTCGCTAGGGGAGTCCCAGCGAGCGCCTCGGGGCTTGGGGAATGCTGTGGTCCCATCTCTTCCTCTCCGAATAAAGACGACTGGAGGTTAGGGAGCTGTTTCTCTTGCGGGCATCCCTGTTCCTGTAATGTTGCCTGCCTCTGGTGCTTCGGCTGGTCAGGGAGAGCTGGAAAATACATGGGAGCTAAAGGCGAGGAGCTTTTGTCCAGAAAACTCTGTCCTCCTGCTTGGTGTGAGGTCTTGCGCTGGGTCGGTGCAGTAAGCGGTGGCTGGGGGCGATGTCCGAGCTCAAGCTTCCCTTGGGCTCCGATCCCAACAAACCTCCCTTAGCTGTGAATTATGGCACCGAGGAGGATTTCACCGGAGCCGCAGGGATCTGGGAAGGGGGCGTTCGGCTCTGTGGAGGAACCGGGATGCTGCACTTTCTCGGAGCCGCTGTGAGATTTGTCACTGCAAAACCCAGTCGGTGCCAGACCTGCGAGCGGCATCGCCAGCCGGCAGATACACGGATTTTGGCTTTTTTGGTTGGCAAAGGCTGAATTTCCCAGCGTCCACCCAGCAGCGTGCTGAGCAGCGGGGCTTGGTGGGACTTCATCTCCGTCTGCGGTGCCTGAGGAGCCCAACGCTCGGACGGTGGAAGAGGCAGCAGCTACAAACCCAGGATGAGTAAATTCTTCCATGGAAACACTTCTCCTGATCCTTAATATTTTGAACGGGGGTTGGTTTCGTTTCTGTTGCTTTGGGGGGGAGGGGGATAGAGATGGATCTCAATCTTTATACATCTGCTATAAGATATTTTTGCAAACAGAGTTGTATACAAAGATGTATTGTGTACATTTACATGTATATTCTGGAACTTCTAAAATTTGAATATAAAAACTGAAAATATTTAATGAATATCCAAACTGTGAGACCCAATTAGCATTCAACAACTTTCCGCTTCACTTTTCTTTTGGACTGTGTTAAAGAATCGTAGTCGAACCTGCCTTTTTTTTTTTTTGTTTGTTTTTTCCTTTAGAGTTTATGAATAGGCAAATTTTGTGCTTTTTGGGTTAATAGAAACCAGTTCTAGGTGATTAAGTATGATCTTAACTTATTGATACTGTGTTTTACTTTGTAATATTGTACTGTGGATAAAACTATATTGAGCCATGGAGTTGGAGTTTACAAAAGAGCTTTTCACTTTGCCAAAATGTTACAATTTAAAGGCAGCATAGTCTTCAGCTTTCCTAATCTTTTCTTAAGAGCTAGTGTCTTTTTTGTACACTAAAAAGCTGAATGCTGATTTTGCAACATATAATAAATTCACTGTATTGGAAAACAAGCGTGCAGTAAGGTCATCTTCTTTCTTTCCAGTGCTGCTCACGGGCAAGAAAACTCGCGAGGGAAAGGTGATAAAGGGCTGGTGCGGAGTTTGAAAGCAGGAAACTTAAAAAGGAACTGCGTTGGTTGCGAGTTTAAGTAGCAGAGCAGTAGGTAAGAAACAGGAGGAGGTGCTCGGCGTGGGCCCACTTGTGCTGCGTACCGAGAGCTCTCACCCAGAAATGCCGCTGCGGAGCAGCCTTGCTCTTGGAATCACAGAATGGTTTGGGTGGGAAGGGACCCCCAGAGCCCACCCAGCCCAACCCCCCTGCAGGAGCAGGGACACCTTGAACCACATCAGGTTGCTCACAGCCCCATCCAACCTGGCCTGGAATGTTCCCAGGGATGGGGCCTCCACCCCCTCTCGGGGCAACCCCTGCCAGGGTTTTCACTCTTTGGGGAAGCTTTTCTGGTGCTCCGATGGGATTGGCATCTCCGTGCGGTGGCAGGAGCTGGGGGTCTTCCCCCTCCAATGGCATTAGCGCCCAGTTTTTTTCAGGGGAAAAGCTGTTTTTGAAGCGGCACCCATCACTGGTGTCGGCGTGGAGGTTTAGAGGGGTCCTACGAGCACCAAGCGGGGCCCCCTGGAGGGTGCGTGCCCCGGGCAGGAGCAGCGGGAAGGCTCGGAGCTGGGCAGGAGCTGGTGTTGGCAAGCGAGGGCCTTGCCGCTTCCCTTGGGATCGATGATGCTGGAGCTTCCTAGGTTATGGGGGCTCTTCCAGACTGCTCGTAGGCCTGGCCAGGGGCTCCTGGGGAGGGCCCAGGCCTGGTTCGGGTGCCTCCTCTCGGCTGCTCTCTGGCTGCAGAAGGGGCTGCTGCTGCCGAGCTGGGTTTTTGACGTCTGAGCTCGCTTGCGTTGGGGCTGAGTCACGTCCGTGGGGAGCTGGAGCAGGGATGTGAGTGCTGCCAGAGCGGCGAGGCGGGGATGCGCCTGGCATAGACGCTGCCGCTGCGCTGCCTGTCCGTGCTGCCGGAGCTCCCACCTCCGCCCGCCGGTCTGAATCATCCAGCTAAAGCTCAGGATAGAAAGAGCATCTCAGTCATAGCAAGGCTTTGTCCCTTTTTTTTCTGCTGTCGTGACGGCTGCTTGCTCTGATCTTGGCTTCTCCAGCATCGCTGGGTCTGCTGCTCACTGTGGCTGGAGCAGGCAAAATAAAATAGAGCCTAAAACCCCTCCGGTAACCACGCAGCACCGGAACAGGCTCTGAAGAGCTGCTGCTCTCATTCAGTGGTTGCTGTGCTGCCTGCTTTGGGATCCACTCCTCTAGTGGGGGTGACAGTCACGCGTTCGCTGGGCTCAGGACCAAAAGTGCCGGCCATAGAGCTTGCTTGGCCCACCCGTGTCCATAACGAGCCCGTGTTCATCTACAGCTCCTTCTGCTCACTTCGGATTCGGGATTCTATCTCCGAAATAGCAAAATACGGAGAAAGATAAAAGAATCCAGCAATCAAAGAACATCTTACAAATGCCTTGGCTTTTTTTTTAAAGGTAGGGGGAACAGGGAGGGCTCTGCTCGGTCCTGCCTAGCCAGGCCTTGACCTTGGAGTTGACACGACAGCACGAGCACCCACGCAGGGAGGCGATGCCCCCATGGCTGGCGAGGGTCTGCTCGCCCAGGGCACTCGGTTTACAGAGCAAGAGCCGGGATGCCTTGGGTGAGCCGATGCTCTCGCAAGTCCCCAAATCCTCAGCTTTTTTCTTTCCAATGTCACCTCCCAGACAAGCTGCGTGCCCCAGGCCACCCTTTTGCCATCTTTAATTCCTCACTCCTGTGAGCTTCACCCCTGCCCGGGGCTGTTGGTCTGATGAAAGGCTGGGTCCTGTCCCCTGGGACGTGCGTGGGGACGCTCACGCAGGAAGGGTCCCTTCCCCTCCCAGCTTTCCTGGGGAATTCCTCTCAACCACTGGCAGCTCCTGCTCTGGCCGGTGTCACGCACTGAGCTCATTAACTCGGAGCTGCCCCAGTGGAAATTTACTGGCTGTGGCTGCTGTGCCCGAGCCAGCCCGGCTCCCGCTGCTGCCTCCTTATCTGCACCCAGCTGGGAGCCCGACCGCCGGCCCTCCGGGGCACCGCTGCGTGGGGATGAGGAGCAGCAACTATTTTGGGCCGCGCGTCCCTCCTGCGTGCCCAGCCGCTCCACAGGTTCACGAGGAGCCCTCGGCTCTGATAAATTCAGGTCACACCTGGCAGAAGTGTCACTTTGCACCATATGGGGCAGGAGCTGTCCTTAAATTAGGGTCACGCACACATGGGAAGGCGGAGATGACCCCGCAGCGTCCTGGCTGCCCCGGTCAGCTTTGAGGGATGCTTGAAAGATGGCAAAAGCACCGTGGGTTTTTCCTCCCGTGCACCTTTTGCTTGCGGCTTGTTTACAGGAGGAAGCTCATTAGAATAATTTGTCCTTGACACGGTCCGATGGTGCTGGTCCCTCTTGCAGAGCAGCTGCTGCACCTCCACCGCCGAGCACGACCACCCCGCATCGCCCGCTCCTCTGTCCCTTTCCGTGCGTGGGGCCGTCCCCGGGCACGCAAGCACCCGGAGGGCGACGGCGTAGGGGTAGGGAGGAGAGGACAAGGAGCCACGAGCAGCCGGCGCGGGCAAAGATAACGAAGGGTCAGAGCCTGGGGATTGTTTTACACGAGGGGAAAAAACCCAAACGTGCACAGAGGAAAACGTGGCCAGGGAGCACCGGGGCTGTTTGCGTCCGTAACGCATAAATCTGGAGCTGCCGGGGTTGGCCTCGACCTGCTG